AGGCAAATGCTTCTCTGGTTCATTCATATCCTTTCTTTCCCTGCGATGTCGGGCCCCATCCTCTGTTCCTTTGGAGCTGCTGAAACCCAAGGCTCCCAGTTACCAGTTCTGGCAACAGTCTCCCTAATCCACCCACCCAAGGGCCACAGAGACCGCTCTGGTTCTCAATTGTTTGTTTGTTTTTGTTTTGAGACAGGGTCTCGCTCTGTCACCCAGGCTAGAGTGCAGTGGCACGATCTGGGCTCACTGCAACCTCCACCTCCCGGGCTCAAGTGATTCTCCTGCCTCAGCCTCCCGAGCAGCTGGGATTACAGATGCATGCCACCACACCCGACTAATTTTTGTGTTTTTGGTAGAGGCAGGGTTTCACCATGTTGGTTAGGCTGGTCTCGAACTTCTGATCTTAAGTGATCCGCCCGCCTCAGCCTCCCAAAGTGCTGAGATTACAGGCGTGAGCCACCGTGTCTGGCCTTCTGGGTCCCAATTCTAAAATCAATTCCAACTCTTGAAGATTCCCCTAAATTTCCTGGGAATTCAGCAATGTATTTAAGAGGATACTTCGTATTTTATGCAGTGTTTTATTCAGTATTTATTGAGCACCTCCAGGGCTAGGCACCGTCTAAAGCGTGGGGGGATACAGCGTTAACACGGTGGCCACACCTGCCCTCGGGGCTTCCCTCCTGTCTCAGGTGTTCCGTGCAGGACTGTTTCCAGGTCACCTAGGCTGCTCTCCTGCCAGCTTTACTTTCCAGCTACACATTACTCTATAAACTCAAAATGTAAAAATCCTCCTTATTTAATGCATTAGGTGCTAGCCAAAAGCTTTATGAGGTGTAAAAACAGACATCCTAATCAAGCGTATTGTTTAAGAAAAGCAAAGATCTATTAGTTTAGTTTCTACAGATTGCATGACTGTTTGAACCACACCTTTGAAGAGTCACAGAAAAGGAGGTCCTACGAGTCTGTTCACGGGGGAAGTCGGATTCACCTGCGAAGGCTCCAGTGTTCTCTGTAGACTGCTGCCTGCTCACAAACAGACACGCTTAGATCCTTCTGATCTATCAGAAGTTTCATTTTCCTTTATCGTCCATTTTTGCTAATGCAATACTAAAACTCCCACGGACAACTGCTCCTAGCTGGGATGCCAGCGTCACTCCAATGTTACAAAAAACAACATACAAACATGCTATGGCAACAGGTTCAGCCTAGAATTACTCTACTGCCACACAACTGCATACGACCACATACATCTGAAGAAAAGTTTCACATGACACATAAATATCTTCTAAAAAAATAAGTATTTCCCTTTACCACCCAATCCCCAAAGGTTTGATTCTAAAAAAAAACCGTTCTTTGTTCACTTACCTAGGATTCTGATTATACATCAAATTCATTTTGATCTCCCTATTAAAGCAGCTCATCTAAACCAACACCACCCTCACTTGTTTCCGAGGCTGCTGAGACACTAGTCTTGACAACCGTAACCATTCTCCCCACATCAGTGTTCTGAAACTCCCGCCCATGTCATCCCCAGTAGAGCTGCATCCCACACTGACTGACAAAGGCTAACTTCCCCAACTCCAGAGAAAGCGGCTTATAAATTACTTCCCACACCTACGAAGATTATCTTCACAATCTCAAACACAAACAGAAAAGCAAGGCTTCTCATGGCCGTCACTAGAGTGCCTAGCAATACTACTCCTGTATTAGGACAATTCCATCACCAAGACCACGGCTTCATTTTCTGGAGGGTTCCATTTTGTCCTGGCCAGTTTTGCAACCACTTATTTCAAAAGCAGTACATGAGGCCAACACATGTGTGCAAATACTTGGCATAAAACCCCACGTAACTTCCTTGTGGCTGGCATTTCACAGCTGAGGCACGTGGGATCGTGAGTGCTTTGTGTGCTTCCTTGATTGAAGGATAAAAGCAGGCACTGAGGAGAAGAGCTCTTTGAGATTTCTGACCCAGAAACTCAATCCTCTGGTCACAGGCCTGGTCTCCTTTATATCTGAAATCCGACCAGCGTCCGTGCATGGCTACTTCTCATTCAGGACTATTTTTAAGGTGCCTCACACATTCCAAACCATTCCACACACCACTCTCTCTTAACAAATGCGAATGTCTCACGTTTGATGGGAACCCCAGGGAGCCAAGTCAGGGAAGAGTCCAGTGCACAGTGTGAGCATCTCGCTAATATATCCTGAGAAGAGCAGGCAGCAGGAACACGTGTCCTGAAGTCTGTTATTTTTTTAGCAGTTCATTTTTGCGTGGTTGCATTGATGTGTTAGTGGGTGTCCGTGGGTTCTGACTTCAGTTTGCTCTGGCTGTGGCTGTAAGAATGCTGGCCTTGGAGAAACCGCCCCTTTCCCAGGTTTAGTGGATGACGGCGTTGAGCAGCAGGGCTCCTCCACTGCCCAGATTTGCAATCTGCTAAAATGTGTCCTGTGTAAGAATGCACTTCTCTTTCTCCTCTTTAATGTTGTAACTGCTGTGGCTGGTACAACTATGAGTAGCAGTTACAGTTTTGGTCTGGCCAAAATGCCTCCATCTTTCAAAATAATAACTTACCTTCTTTCCCCTTTCCCCAAATACAAAAATCCTTAAGGCAAAAGACACAGAGGCGTTTTGAAGTGCAGCTTGAGACATGAATCCTCTTTAAAAACTTCTGCTCAAATATGGAAAGTTTCTTCTTTCATGCCCTGATACTAGGTGTGCTATTGGGCCCCTCCCACACCCCCGAGGAACTACGGGCAGAGAGCTAAAGGGGATCCACACAGGTACAGTCGTGGCTGGCCTGAGGGCAAAATTGGTGGTTATTTCAAGGGAAACGTAGAAGGGAGCAAAGAGAGCTACCGGCGGGACCTGCAGCTGCAGCCCTGCCTCAGTCTGCGTGAAGGTGTCGGTGTTGTGTTTCCCTCAGTTACTCCAGCCGGGTGTGCACGAGTCTCCGGCTGGGCGGCTGGGCTGACTTACGGGGGCTTTGTGTACTGTTTCCATTAGAGCCTCATGGGAAAGCAATTGTTGGCAGCAAATTCAGGGATGTTCTCATTAAAAGGCTTTTAAGAGTTCTGCTCCCCAGAATTATCCATTGTACAATTCCTTAACACAATGTCATATTCAAAGCCCAAACTAACACGGCTGTCAGAGTGACATTCACACCAGGGACGGGGCTGCCTCTCCCGACCCAGGCTCTGCGACAGATCCACATCCAGCTCCTCTAATAAAAGGAAACACCGTGGAGATTCCAAGTGGCTCCAGAACATGCCTTATTAAAAAATAAAATAAAATAAAATAATAAAATAAAATAAAATAGGATGTGTTTGCAGCATAATTGAGTTTTCTCTCCTGTGTGAAATGTCTTTGTGAATAAAAAACATCAGAACGAGGGATATTTGTTTAGAACTCCTGATTCATACTGCTTCCCCTTCTAGGAAATGACGCTCCCTAGATCTGGCCTTTTACTATGGAGATTTTTAGCTTTCTTGTTAAAATATACAAAATTAAAGGAAGCTAGATGGATGTGGTGCCATTCCATGGCAAGACTGCGGCCGTACAATTAGTTGTTAGAGTGACTCTTTAGAAACGCACCCAGTGCAGGGCTCTCCCACCGCTACAGATCAGGCCCCTCCGGGGATGTGCTGGGGAGTGGGGGCTGCAGCTGGCTGAAGGCTGTTCTAGACCCAATTCTGCCACCAACCAGGAGGAGAGTTTACTGGCAAGCCGCTTCACTTCTCGGGCTTCCTTTTTCTCATCTGCAGAATGAGAGCCTTCATCTGTAGACCTGCTGTTCCCTTCCGAGCTGCACCGTTCGGAGATCCTGTGCTGCCCCGTGGCACCAGCTCACTCTGCTAATCTACTTCTTGTGAAGCTTTATTGTCCCTCAGTATTTGGTTTGCTTCAACTCAGTATGCTTCTCTCTCCCAAATCACTCCCAGTTTCTGAAGCTATGCTATGCATTCACGATGGTGACCACTTATCACTGCTCCAGGTTACACAATAAGGACCTAGGAAGAATCCAGGAGGAGAGCTGTCTGACACAGGCTCTAACTGCACACAGCTATGTGTGACACACCTTGAAGGGCAGAACACTTGGAAAGGGAGATGCAGTTCCTGTAAAACCAACCATCAAAGGGAAGGGGGCCGCCCTGTGTAGCCGGAGCTGTGGTTCCAGAAACAGCCCATGGCAAAGAAGGAAGAGCTACAGTGGGAAGGGAAAACTGGCCCCTGACTAGGGGAGCTATGACACACTTCCCCCTTGTAAGTCCCCAATGGCAGGACATTGCATTCTCTCTCTATTACTAATCATACTTTACACTGACACAGCATCTGGACTTTTAAAGGTGTTTCCTCATTCAACAGCTCCTTGGGAACCCCCTCTTTCTCTCCCGGGTGGGGTGGCCTGTGTCTAAGAGCTTTCACTCTCCCAGGCTTCTGACAACAGTTCCAACCACGGTCCCTGTGGTGGCTGCAGCCTTGTGTACACTGGGTTACTGCGGTGAAAGAGCCTGCTAAGGGTGCCCACAGGTCAGGAGTGAGCCTCCCTGATTCTACCAACCGGCCGGCAGTATCACTCGAGGCCGTGGGATGGTCACACGAGACACAGGCAACAACCGAAAAAGGGGAGCCCTAAGGGGAGTTTCCTCCAGAGCAGGGGAGCCCGGGCTGAGTTTTCATCCCTGTTCCCTACAACTGCACAAGAAGCCACAGCGCGCTCAACAATCGGCCTGCCTCCAGGGGCTCCCGGTCTGCGGAAACAGGAGGTGGACAGCGCCTGCGGTGAGCTGTCCCTCTGTCTGACAAGCACAGCAGTTCACCGCATGCACCTGCACACACCTGCCTGTCCCAGTGCACACAATGGGTTTGCTGCCAAGTGAGTTCCACCTAGTTCCACCTCCCCCTGCCATGTTCCCTCGGGGCCTTGTCCGGGACAGAAAACATCACGTAGCCAGCCACACAGAAAAAGGAAGGGGGGCGGGGATTGCTTGCCCACGCTGACCTCTAGACTGAAGCAGGTCTGGCCTCCCAGCCCATGGCTCCCGGCGTCCCCGTCTGCGCGGCGGTGCAGCTCCCGTGCAGTTCGGAGGCGCAGGCTCTCCCGCTCGTCCCCTCGGGCCGGCCCCAGCTGCCACTCTAGCTGCTCTCTCAGTCTGGACTGTTAGGTGCACGGGAGGGATTTTTGTTTTTTTAAAATTTTAAACAAACAAACAAACAAACAAACAAAAACAAAGGACAAGAAGGTGGAGGCAGGGAGAGGGGATAAAGAAAACAAAAATGGATAAGGGAGACGACTGAGAAAACGACCAAAGAACAGCACAAATAGAAACACCAGCTTAAAGACAGCGGTGGACGAAAGTGAAGTGAACAGACCCAAGATGAGAATGAGCAAAAGGGCGGGTGGACACATCCGAAAAGCAAAAAGAGAAAGTGGGGGTGCAAAACACTGGTTACGGGGCACATGCGATGGCGATGCGTGAATCCAGAACTCAACCGCAAGCACGCTACCCGTGAAGGAAACGGAAAACGAGGCTCTTCCTTCCTTACTTGTGGGTCGAGCAGCCAAAGCCACAGTCCAGGGCGGCAGCTGGGCCATGCACCCAGGCGAGGCTAGGACAGCAGTCCTCGGAGGCCCTCCGCGCCCTCCCCAGCGGCGGCAGGGCGGCACGAGCCAGCAGCGCTTTTCCACCAAAACCATCCTTCTCAGCACCGCGCTCCTCGCCCGCTTTGGCTGATCCTCCAGCGGGAATGGGGGCCTGGGCTGCCTAGGGCCTTGGACTGCACTGTGTCCCTTGAAACACACCCAGGAAGGGACGTGCTTGGTAGCGAGTCTGCTAATTATCCTGACTGTGACATGCGTTTGTCTTAGCCTCCTCACGGCTTCTTCAGCGTGTGGCTGGTTGGTTGAGATACCAAGAGAGGAGCAAGGCCGGCCTGCGTCGAGCCCTATCGCTTCCACTGGGCTTAGCCTCGTGTCTGGGAGGGCCTCTAAACCATGAGCCGTGGCGCAGTTAAAAATAAGACAGGAAAAAGGAAAAAGAAACAAGGCAATACAAGAAAACTTAAAAAAAAACAAAAAACAAAAAAAACGGAGCCCAACCAAGAGAGAGGATCCGGTTGCCCCGGAGGCTTTAGTACAATGCAGGTTTGAAATCATAACCAAGCAGCCGTGAGCAGCGTGAGCCCGAGTGCAGCAATGCCAGCGAGAAGGAGGAAGAGCAAGGCGGAGCAGGGAGGCGAAGCCACGAGCCCCCTTACCTGCAAGTCTGGGCCCAGCTCCTTCCCCAGGTTCCCGATGGGGGAGTCCCGGGACACGGAAGTCACAGTGGAGAGGAAGCTAGAGGACTCTGTGAGGTGCGGCAAGGGGGATAGGCCATCCCCAATGCGGTTCACCTGCTCCAGGAAGGCCTGAAGCTCTTTCTTGAAAGACTTCATCTTGGCGTTGATGGTCCCCAGCAGGTGAGGCTCCTGCTGGTCCCCCTCGCCCCGCTCCTCTTCACCCTGGAGGCCAGGCCCCGGCGAGGGTGCACCACCCTGCAGCCCCGCGTCACGGAGGAAGCTGTCGGTGTCCGCGATGAGGTGCTCCACCGTCCGCTCTAGCCGCTGGGCCTCGTGTTTTAGGGTCACTAGGCACTCGGAGTCCTCCCGGGCCTTCAGGAGCTCCGTGGCGCACGGCTCGCTGGCCTCCGATGGCTTCCCGCTCCCGAAGCCCGACGTCTTCTCGAACATCTCCTCCGAGTCGCTCTCCCCGCCAACAGGGCCTTCCCGCTTGGGCTGGGGCAGGCGGCTCTCCTCCCCTTCACTCTCCTTCTTGCCTGCATCGCTCTCGGCATCGCTGTCCCGGGGACTGGGGACACGCAGCCCCAGGTGCGCTGCCAGGTCGCAGCGCTGGATGTTGGACAGCAGCGCATGGTTCTCGTGCTGCAGTTTGAGCACTTTGCCGCTGAGCTCGCTGATCTGCAGCCTGGCTGACTTCAGCTCCTCCTGCAGGGGGGCCCCACCCCCGGCACCAGGACTCGCACCCTCCCCGAGCCAGCCCGGCTCCCGGGGAGGCTCAAACTTAAACTTGCTGAGCTCGTGGGTCAGCTGCCGGTTGTGGTCTTCGATCTCGGAGATGGACCTCCGGAGCAGCTCCGCTTCCTCTTCCACGAACTGCAGGTGGCGGCGGAGCTCAGTGGAGGACTCCAGGGAGTCGCCGAAGGGTGAGGTAGGAATGCTGGGTGGGTGGTCCCGGCCCAGGCCCTCTCGCTCCTGCTGGCCCCGCATGTCCTCCATCTCTGCCTTGAGGCCACGGTTCTCCACCTCCAGCTCCACGATCTTCCGGCCCAAGATGTTGGCTTCCTCCTCCACCAGCTTCAGCCGCAGCTTCAGCTCGGCCTCCCGGGTGCTGGGGGGCCCGCCTGCTTCCCCCGTGGGCAGGGGGCTGTCCACATCCCCATAGAGGGACTTGTACTTCTGGAGCTCCTGCTCCAGCTCGTCCTTCTCCCGTCCTAGCTTGGCCATCTTTTTGCGCATCAGGAAGGCTTCCTCTTTGGCAAACTGGAGCTGGCACCTCAAATCGGCACTGTCATCCTGCCAGGAGAGAACAGCCCGGGAGAAGGGTTATTTGAAAATACCAAATGTTCGTGTTTTTCATGATTCCCCTCACACCTCGCCCCCAATGCACACAAACATCAAACACCGATCTTTCCGTCGGTGCTGTTGAGTTACACAGAGAAAGAGCCAAGACAAAGCAGAGGTGGGCCTGGGGCCTGTGAAAGGCCTACAGTTTGTTGCTTTGCCACAGAAACAAAAGAAACAAAAAAAATTAGTTTGGAAAAAAAAGTGCATGTGGAAATCATCATACAAGTTATGAGCGAAGAAGGGAAAACGAAATGAGGCGCAAAACCCAGCGGGAATGCGCAACCCCTCATTGCTCTGTGGATCCCACCTGGTTACTCACCGGCACCAGTGAGAGCCAGCAGGACCCCTCACCAAGGCCTGGTGCAGGCAGACAGGGTTCAGAGCATCTTCCACCCTGCTGCACTCACCACCTCCAACGTGAGGACCTCCTTCTTTCAAAGTGCCCGGCAATCCACGAGGTCTGACCAGGATGGGGAAGTCAGGCCACCCCAAATAAGAGCTCAGCTTTCCCCTGGTTTCCTAAGGTACCTGAGACAGGGCAATTCGCTTCTCCCCATCCCAGTCTCCCCCGCCCTAAGGTCCCACAAGAATGATATGACAAAAAAAATGAGGCATGAGCATGAGGGTGCTTGGAAGTCCAGGCGCGTACTGAGTCAGTACCAAGCTCTGGGTACACACTGGGTACTGCACACCCAGCCACCTGGGCTCCTTGCAGCCTCTCGCCATGCAAGTGCAACTTCAGAACCTTTGCTTATGTTCCTTTCCCTTTAGTTGCTGTGACACAGCAGGAAATTAAACTCGGAGACCCAAGGCAAGGAGTTAAATGTTGGATAGTCAAGTGTATCAAAACCTGAGAAGTGTCCTCATAGGCCTTCCAGAGGGTTCTGGAGGATCCTCAAAGCTGACTCTGCTGTTCACAGCCTGCTATGCTTGGCTGAGGTCAGAACGGCACTTTTTGGATCCACTGGAAAGTCAGCTCTGCTTTGCAGGGCTGGTCTCCTTGTTTTGAAGCCAGAGGAACTCCCCATTTTGGTTTTGCAAAAACGTTTTACTGTTCACATCCAGCAGATGGGAAAAATAACCGATTTCACAAATCACTCCTCTTTGATCGGCCATCAAAAGTTCCAAAAGGCTTCAGCAAAGGTTTCCCCCATCACACAGAGAAACTGTCAACAACAGCTCTACAGGAGTCAAATCCCACAGCCCTCGTAGAGGAAAAGGCATCAAACTGCTCTCCAGGCCTGTCGCCCTTCTCTGGAACAAGTCAGCCCCCGGGGGAGAATGAACCCCTTCAGATCGTCACGTGTGCTCACAATGCAGCTTCTCCACTCAGAGAGCACGGCTCGCTCTCTGCCGCAGTCTGGTCGCACACTCACAATTGGAAGAAAGAAAACCTCCCTCGGCACCTCCCAACTTTCCTCCTTCCACTCTGCCTGGGCCCTCCTTGCTCACCACGAACCCCATGGAAAGGGAAAAAACGGTATGACCAGGAAGGCTCAGGCCCACACCTACGACCAAGTGTGCAGCCACTGCCACAGGGAAAGCTTGCCCTGGCGCTATCTGTGCGTCCTCAGGAGGATGACATGCCCTTTGTCATCTCTTAGCTGAGGACAAAACCAGGCCTGCTGGACTTGGGGTCAAACACGCTGCCCGGAGTCCTAGCTTTGCCCCTCCTACTGTCCAAGGGGCCTGGGCTAATCACAGACCCGCAAGGTTGTGATGAGGGTCAAATGAAATAACGGTCTGTATATGATAAATCATAAACCTAAAAAGTGTATTTTTTATATATAAACTGGTTAGTATATGATAAATCACCATGCTCTAGCTCCCTGAAATTAATTTTCTTATTTGTCTGAAACACAATTAGTATTGGGTAAAGGAGCCAGTAAAGAGTTTTTTCCTTCTTTGCACATTAGGAGAATAACATATAAATGTCACATGGTCTTTGAGTCCTGAGAACTTATCACATGAAGGATTTGGTTGGGTTTGGGTTAGGCAGACATAAAAATCAATCCTGTGACTAACCTGAAGTAAGGCTGTGTGCCCTACTCACAGCTACTGAGGTGAATGGGCTATCATCGCCACTGGGGTAATGACATATTTTTTGAAAGAACCTACACAGAATATATGGACTGTAAAAGACATACATTGTTATTTAATACTAATACTAGAGGAAAAGCATGCTTGTTTATCTGTTCATTCATTCTTTTTTATTATTATTATTTTATTTTGAGATGGAGTCTTGCTCTGGTCACCCAGTCTGGAGTGCAATGGTGCAATCCTGGCTCACTGTAACTGCCGCCTCCTAGGTTCAAGCAATTCTCCTGCCCCCTGCCTCTGCCTCCCGAGTAGCTGGGACTACAGGAGCATGCCACTGCGCCCAGCTAATTTTTGTATTTTTAGTAGAGATGAGGTTTCGCTATGTTGGCCAGGCTGGTCTCGAACTCCTGACCTCAGGTGATCCAGCACCTCAGCCTCCCAAAGTGTGGGATTACAGGTGTGAGCCACCGAGCCTGGCCTTGTTCATTCATTCTTTCAGGAAATATTTATTAAGTACCTACTACGTACGAGAAGTTGGCAAGTTACTTTTAAACAACCCCAGCTTCTTAGAACTTTCGAAAGTAGAGCAAACAAAAAAGCACCTTTTCAATTTTTGTTAAACACAGATTTGTAAGAAATTCAAATACACAGACAGGTCTTTGTTGTTCCCATGAAGGAATGCAGTTTAAGCTAAAATATCTATCAACGGAGATGGATTGTAAATACTTAAAAGCTTGGGACCAGAAAACAGGGGAGTGCCCTCAGCCCCATTGTTAATTTGAGAGCCAGTGTCCGTCCATTGTCAAAAATCATCTAAATGATCCCATCTCCACCTCTGAAGCACAGACATCCACAGCAGCAGAGATCACAGAGGGCAGCGTTGTCCAGCTACAGGGAAACTCGGGACCACTCTCCACCCTTCTTGAGCCTGGGACTCGAGACTGGGCTGGACAAGGTGGGGGCAGGTCCGCCTGCTGTGACCAGCGTCCACAGAAACTTGCAGCTGGCGAGGCCTTGATGTGGTGGAGCCAGGCCAGGAGGGGCAGGCGAGGGGCACTGTTGCCTGCATGGTACGGGAAGCTTTTGGCTCAAACAAGCGCGTGGACCAGGGACTGAGGCAATCCCACTCTGCCTGGTCCCTCCTTGCTCACCACAAACCCCGAGTAAGGGGAAAAATGATATGACAAGAAAGGCTCAGGGAAATAGCTATGACCAGCTCCTTGGGGTCTTCCCCAACAAGTTGAACTGAAACATTGGGGGAGGAGGATCATCTCTGAGAAGGGTCCTGAAACACGCCGGAGGTTATACATGCTTATCTGCACCCCTCATGCAGGCAGAATGTTCCCATAGAGCCCTCAAATCACCTTGATTTCCGGAAACCTCCAACCTCACACCATTCCCCTCTGTCCACCATCCACTACAAATCTATCATAGAACAATTCTCTTCCGTCTCCTTGAACCTAAACCCAGGTCAGTTAAAGCAGCAAGATCCTATGACATACTCTAACGAGTGTCAATGTGTAGATTACCTGAGGATTGATAAAATGTCCAAAACGTCTTCTCGTTCCTTAAAGAAAAAAGCTGTCAGTACGACAGCATGCTGTCATTTCGACTTGACAACCAGGCATGCACTATGAGGCCTGCCACCAAGACTAAAGCAGCGTTGAAAGACTGTCCTGGAAGCCATGGGAGAGTGTGTATTAAATGAAGTCACACGTCCTCGGTGAGGTCGAGGCAGCTAGGGCAGGGCCCGCTGCACCTGCGGGGTGTTGTGTGCAGGAGAGGGGCGGCCTGAGGGAAGCTGAGCTCGGCCTGTTCTGAGTAGGGGAAGCCACTCCTCATAAGATGGGGAATCACAGCTTCAGCTCAGGCAGTGGGAGGCTGGATGCCCATCTTATGTTGTAACCATAGACTTCTTAAAACTCTGCCAAGACTCTCGCGGGGCGGTGGGGGTGGGGAGCAAGGCCGAGTCTAAACTGAAGGATATCATTTCTGGTTTCAAGAGATCATTCGATAACCCCAGGAATGTGGTATGAAAGCAGGTCAAGTCCAACTTTCCATTTGACACACGATTCCTGTTGCAGGCAGAGGGCAGGCATGGCCAGGAGGGGAGACACCCAGGGGCCCACCACCATCACCACCAGCGGGAAAGGCCTTGTCAAGCCACAGAAATATATCGCTCTCTGTATATATTCTTTGGCTTGCAAGTCAGCCGTCCAGCCAGCACCCCGAGCGGGTGACTGCCTGCGTGCCTACCTTGCGCCGGGGCGCCAGCTTCCTTTGGGTTTTGGTTGTGGGCCTGCAGTTCCCAGCGCGCTCCATTCCACCATTCTGCTGAACAGAAACTCCTTCCTCAATCATCCCGCCGGCTGGGCGGGCGTTCAACGCATCCCAGGTACCAGGGTTTCGGACACGCGCCCGAGGAGCAGCAGCTCCTGTTCTTGACCCGTTTTACCCACGGGGCGAATGCTGTTCATTTCACAACGGGGCAGAATTTCCCCTTTTAAGGAAAAGATCTTCCCCGGGCAAGAGCCAGTCGATTGAAAACACTCTCAGCCCAGGAGAGTGTAAGTACCCAGCAGTGGGCGGCAGACTTTAATTTCCCTATTATTAATGGATTCCAAAGTGAGGCTGGGAGGCTGGGGAGGGTGGAAGCGAACAGTTGAGCTTCCGCGTTCTGCTGCTGCAGGGGCCTGCCCCTCCTTGAATGATGCCCTGGGGATTAGTGAGTTTGGAGAATGGAGAAACCCAGGGGATCCTTAAGAGGGGAGTTCACAGGGACAGGGCGGCAGGAGGTCGGTGGAGGTTGCTGAGCTCTTAGTTACCCCGACTCATTGTGTCTCTCTAATTACCACTTGCTCTCAGAGTGCAGTGAGCTGATATCCCAATAACACCTTTGTTCTCTCCACCACCTAATGCTAGCAGCAATTTAAAAACAGAATCCAGTAAAACAGCTTTACAGAAAAGCTAAGAAAGTTTTGAAGAATGCATACTGTGCATCTAGAAAGGGCTGAGAATACTTTACCTTCAATGAGGACCATTTAAGATATTGTTCAGCTCGCACATTAAAAAACAACAACAACAACAACATTCAAAACAGTGTCTTATGAATGACTCGACTCCACAGTGGCTGTTTTATTTCACTGTGTGGATGACTTTGAAGGTAAAAACACTTTTTACCATTTATAAGTACCTCAGGCCCCCAAACTACACTTAATTCTGTTTCACACAAAGCCAGTTCTTTTTCCTGAAGAAATCACCAGCTTGTCAGCGTCGGGGAGAAACAAGAGGGAGGATCTGTGGGTTTGCAAAGAAAGTGTTCACACTGTGGAGGTTAGGAATGAGTCCACGTGTTTGGACAGGTAATGTTTCTTTGAATGTTTTAAAGGCAAAACTAACACTGAAAAAAATTCAAAATGAAGTGACTTCACTTATAGATGTAACATTAGAATGAAAACCTCTGCTTACCTGGTTAAAGGTTTTCTTCTCCTTGTACATTTCCCGAGTGCTTCTTCTTTTTAGGGAACTCTGAAATAGATCCAAGTGACATTCTGTGACCAAGGGCTCACATGTGACAGCCAGCATTAGTGAACATCGTCCCCACGGGTGGGGACACACACACTGGACGGAGGCTGTTTCCCACCAGAATCAAGAAACAACTTAGAGTCAATGTGTAAATGCAGTTGGATAAGTTGGAGAAGGTCTTTGAATCTTAAGATTCTTAAAATCCTAATTACTGTATTTGGGGTATTCCTTAAGTATTCAGTTAATGAAAAAGGAGAGTGGCTGGGATAATTTTAACAGTGCAGAGAAGGCAAGAAGAGGAGGAGAAAGGCAGGAAGTTTGGGAACAGATAACTCATATTTCTGGAGCTGGTTCACTTTCCAAATCATGTTTTGTTTGGGCTAATATGAGAATTAATTGGTGTTTCCTGGCCAGGTGCAGTGGCTCATGCCTATAATCCCAATGCTTTGGGATGCCAAGGTGGGAGGATCACCTGGGGCCAGGAGTTTGAGACCAGCCTGAACAACACAGTAATAAGACCTTGTCGCCACAAAAAGATTTTTTTTTTTAATTTTCAGATGGAGTCACTCTGTCTCCCGGCTGGAGTGCAGTGGTGCGATCTCAGCTCACTGCAAGCTCCGCCTCCTGGGTTCACACCATTCTCCTGCCTCAGCCTCCCAAATAGCTGGGACTACAGGTGTCCACCACCACGTCCGGCTAATTTTTTGTATTTTTAGTAGAGACAGGGTTTCACTGTGTTAGCCAGGGTAGTCTCGATCTCCGGACCTCGTGATCTGCCCACCTTGGCCTCCCAAAGTGCTAGGATTACAGGCATGAGCCACCGCGCCCGGCCACACAAAAAATAATTTCTAAAAACTTAGCTGGGTGTGGAGTCGTGTGCCTGTAGTCTCAGCTACTAGGGCAACTGAGGCGGGAAGACTGAGTTTATGAGTTCGAGGCTGCAATGAGCTATGATCAGGCCCATATAGCCCTGTACTTTAGCCTGGGCAACAGAGCAAGACCTTGCCTCAAAAATAAATACATAAACAAACAAACAAATAACTGGTGTTTCCTGAGTGGCTAGATAAAAAGTGCTATGAAGGAAGAAGAAGGGCGGCCCTTGTTTACAGAGAAAACCTAACTAGGTTGTGAAATTCTCAGAAAACCCACTCCAATTCATGGTTAAACCTCCATCTTAAAGATCTTACAAAGCTCATAACTTATTGCTAAGTGAAATGAAGGCCTTGGCTGTGTCCTTTAGTGCCTGGGAGCCCTGCCTAGTTTTACATTATAGACTCCAGGCAAGAAATTGCAAATACATCTGAAAATACAAACAGAAGTATGAGTAAAGGGGCCTAGGGGTGTCTGCAACAGACTAACTGGGAGATACGCCAGCTCCTGCAAAGGGAAAGTGTGAAGGCAGAAAGAAATGAGGAGTGAGAAGCCTCCTAGAGGAATATGAACGGATTTGTAGCCTCTTAATCTGCAAAGTTAAGTTAATCCTGAGGAAAGCTGGGAGGAAGCAGGTGGGAAGCAGAGCTCCGCTGGCCCCAGACCTATAAGGCAAGTCTGCAAAAGGAAAGAGATTGTCCCCGACACCCACCTCCCTCCCCTCTGCACCTCCACCTCGGGGTCCAGGACCTCATCTGAGATCTGCTCAGAGCCCTGACTCTCTCGGCTTTACTCCCGGGTGCCCACCCTGTATCAGAAGAGTTTGCAAAGGAGGCTATATGCAAGTCACTTACGTTGCAGTTAGAACTTAAGTTCATTAACTCAGTACTGTTCACATTTTAAGTGTCTCACTCTCAGAATGCCAGCCCTTGCCATTTATTGGAAGAATCCTAGGTTAAGAAACAGTTAAAATTCTAGCTGCCCCTTGGCCTCTAGGAGGCTGGAGACCCGGAAAATATAAAATAGATAATTGAGAGAAGGCCCTCAGGGCAGAGGGCTGAAGAGGGCCACGGAATCACCGGAATCACCGCGGAGCAGGGGCGCCAGGCTCCCTGACTAACAAAGGTGGAGGGAACCCCAGCTGCAGAAGGTCTTATTTCCTTTAGCCTTTTTGGTAAAGCGGGTCACACTACAAAGAGAACCAGTCTCCACCAACAGGTAAAGGTAAGCCTGTCTTAAGGACAGCTTGAATTTCTCCACTCTTAATAAGGAAGTTCGCCAAGATTTTCACCTTCATGCTTCAGTTAAGAGGTTTCTTTTGTTTGTTTTGTTTTGAGACAGAATCTTACTCTGTCGCCCAGGCTGGGGTGCAGTTGTACGATCTCGGCTCACTGCAACCTCTACCTCCCTGGTTCAAGCGATTCTCCTGCCTCAGCCTCCCAAGTAGCTAGGATTACAGGTGCACACCACCCATGCCCAGCTAATTTTTTTTTTTTTTTTTTTTTTAGTAGAGATGAGGTTTCACCATGTTGGCCAGGCTGGTCTCGAACTCCTGATCTCAGGTGATCCACCTGCCTTGGCCTCCCAAAGTGCTGGGATTACAGGCGTGAGCCACCGTCCGCGGCCAGAGGTTTCTTTTATTTGAATGAGCTGAGTGAGATAAATCCTGATGATTCAGCAGGCTCTCTCCCAAGCTTTAACCTAAGGGACTTAATTCCAGAGCTGTAACAGCGATCAGGCCCGCAGTGAGTGCAGAGCCTGCTGTCCCTGGCTTTCATCACATTCTCCCAATGTACACCCTGAAAGAAAACTAAATAGAAGTAAAATGAAAGCTAGAACTGGAGACAGAATCTATGCAGAATCGTGGGCTGCTGCGTTTCAGGCTGGAGGCTGGAGCACATTCTGGGTGGGAGCCCTTGGATGGACTCTTCTCGCCACCCCTACCCACCCCATGTCTCCCCTTCCCTTGCTGATGGGCTGTCAACTGTAGCCCTGAGTCCTGCCATCCTTCCAGCAATTCACAGAACAGGCAGGGAGTCATGGGATGCTCCTCCTCCATTCACAGTGGCAACTAGAATGAAAAACACTGCAAGGGTTAAAGTTTTAAAGTTAACCAGAGGCCAGGGGCGATGGCTCATGCCTGCAATCCCAGCACTTTGGGAGGCTGAAGTGGGCAGATTACTTGAGGTCAGGAGTTTGAGATCGGCCTGGCCAACATGGTGAAACCCTGTCTCTACTAAAAATACAAAAATTAGCTGGGCATCGTGGCACACACCTGTAATCCCAGCTATTTGGGAGACAAAGGCAGGAGAATCGCTTGAGCCCAGGAGGTGGAGGTTGCAGTGGGACAAGATTGTGCCACCGCACTCCAACCTGGGCAACAGAGTGAGACTCCCTCAAGAAAGAGAGAAAGAAAGAGAAAGACAGAAAGACAGACACAGAGAGAGAGAGAAGAAAGAGAAGACAGAAAAGGAAGAAAGGAAAGAAAGAAAGAAAGAAAGAAAGAAAGAAAGAAAGAAAGAAAGAAAGAAAGAAAGAGAGAGAGAGAGAGAAAGAAAGAAAGGAAAGGAAAAGAAAGAAAGGAAGAAAGAAAGAAAGAGAAAGAACGAAAGAAAAAGAAAGAAAGAAAGAAAGAAAGAAAGAAAGAAAGAAAGAAAGAAAGAAAGAAAGAAAGTTAGTTTAGTTAACCAGAAATTTGCAGAACCTGTATGAAGGAAACCATAGAACACTGAAGATCAACATAAAATAATGCTTAATGCTGCCTAATGGGAAGACCTTGTTATAAAGAGACCATGTTTCTTCCGAACCATTTTGTAAGTATGTCATTTTAACCAAATTCCTTAAAATACACACACACACACACACACACACACTCGAAAACAGTGTGTGTGTATGTGTATTTATACGTACTTTTTATGTGTTTGTGAGGGTGGTAAGAATGGACAAAATAATTCAAAAACTCATCAAGAACAGAAATTGGCAAACCATAGCCCTCAGGACAAATCAACCCACAGCCTGTTTTGTAAACAAAGTTTAATTAGAATACAGCCTCATTTCTCACTGTCTATGGCTGCTCTGCACTGCAAGGGCAGAGGAGAGCACTAATGACAAACTGTTAGGGCCTGCAAAGCCTCAAACTACTTTACTGACCCCGATTTAGAAAAATAAATTGGTGAAAACTGCCAAGAACACTTTGAAAAGGAAAAATAATGACAATATTTGTGCTATTAGATATAAAAATACAATGGTTCGGTGCTGGTACAAGAACAGACAGATTAATGAAACTAAACAGAAGGCTCACAAATAGATTAAAGAATACATGAGATTTTAACCATTGATACAGGTCATATTTTGAACTAGTGAGGAAAGGATGAACTACTTGGTACATGTTGGTGAAACAACTATACACATCGTGAGATCAAAAAAGATGAGACACATACTATATCGAGATAAATCTTAGATGAATTAACATTTTAGATGCAAAAAAAATCATAAAGGCATGAGAAAAAAAAGATGAACTGATGTTTGTTCTTGGAGTATGGCCTTTATAAACACAGAAACAAAAGCAGAAACAGCCGGAGAAAAGATTGATAGATTGGTAAGATTTTTAACTTAAAAAAAAAATACATCAAAAGAAACCACTTATAGTATTAAAAGACAAATGACAAACCGGAAAGAAGATGTTTCCAACACATGACAGACAAAAGAGTAGTATCTTGCAAGCAACACAAAACACGTCTTAATAAAATAAACAGACGGCCAATAAACACAATTACTGACAATTAAAACAAGTTTTTTTTCACTTAGAGATTTATAGATTCAAAAAAGTAGGGCCCTCAGTGTTAGCACGAACCCAGGAAGACGGGCACTTCTGTGCAGAGGAAGGGGCAGGAGAAACCCGCAGCATCTGGGGTGGGGGATGGTGGTGCAGCTCGGCCTTACAAAGGCACAGGTTGAGAGGTGTAATTCCACCTCTGGGAACATACCCTAAGGACAAGAGACACGCACCAAGATTTATGAATGAGAATGCTCTTCACAGCACCTTTTATCATCGTGAGTACTATGGAGGTATTACAATTTTTTCCTTTTATTTTATTGTATATATTTAAGATACACAACATGATGTTTTGATA